CCTCTTTAAATGTAAATCCATACATAGGGAAACGTTTGCCCGGGTATGTCAAGCATATTCTCCGGTTGCCGTGGGGAATTTGAAGCATCCAGTTGGCGGGGGGCCCTTCCGCTCGTGCCTCTGGATAATTGAACGCGTCTGCTGTGTCTTGAGAAAAGCACGACCGTTTATTTTGGGGCTCGGGAGCAACCCAAGCTAGAGGGTACTCATCACCGTGTGGCTCGTCTTCATAGTTGGCGGCCAGAATGTCATCCTCGACTGAGTGCGCCATTATACCTGAAAAACAGAGGAAAACAGTGAATTCGACATTATCAAATCCACCCTTCCACCGCAGATCAAGTGAAAGGGCGACGAACTCGACCCAAGCCCTCGACTACACACTAAAGCGGACTGCGTTTTCGTTGGGAGATTACGTTGTCATGGGGGATACTCACTCACCGAGCAAGAAGCCCGAGTCAACCCCTGTTATGCGGGGAGAACATCCCTTGTATCATGGCCACTATTCGGGGAGATCTCCCCCGACGTCATAACTAATGAACTTCAATGAACATTCATGAGTGTTCATCATAGAACTCATAAATATTCATCCAGTCAAGGAAAATTTTAGATGTTTAATCTAGAAACGTTGAAGAAGCATGTTGTTAAGGCGATATAACTTACTTGGAAGAAGAACTCTTGGAGAAAAAATCGGGAAAAGTTGGGAGGATAGCTTTACGCACGAGCAAGAGAAGTTGAAGGAGAACTTGAGAAAATGACAAATGAGACTCGGGGGCCCCCTTTTATAGGTGACTCACGCCCCACGAGGTCTATCACGAAACTCATCATTTGATTGGACCTTTTGGATTTCCCCTTGAAGGGGTGGCACCCCAAAGCATTAGCCACGTGGCTCAACAGTCAACTACGTGTCCCTTCTAGATCAACGAGCATATCCCCGACTCCAATGCGTAATCCCCATACGACCACGAGGAAGATACCCCACACGAAGGAATGCTCGACGCTACAGCGTGTACACGGACGCATCCATCCAATTACCTCAAGGATAAAATAATGATCGAAATCTCAACAACCCCCTGAAAACGGGCGCGTCGAAAGAGATCTCGTGTAGGCTCCCCGTAAATAATATGGTCCTCTCGAGCAAGAAACTGACCCCTTCGTTATCACTGCTTGTTCACCCATAATATCCCCGACACACTTAAACAGGTTGTCTCCCATGCGGACAACAACCTGTTCCTTTCAGAAGACTCTGACCGTCCTTCCCAATCAAGTCTCTGACCATGAAAGCTGAACTTAAGTCATCACCCTTTCGCTCAAGGGAAATAACTTGGAGGTTCCTGATATGGACTGGGCCTACACTTGCCACTCGGGTAGGAGGTCCAAACCAACACCTTTGCATAAGGCCCAAAGAACAGACAACCCAAGTTGGGGACCGTTAGGCAACTCCCCACATATTCGTTGGGGAACGTGGCCCACGTCCTCATGTCAGTCATCTTAACTGCCCTCCGAGAATCACGAGTCCAATCTCTATTCTCACGGAGCAGTTGACCAGGGGGAGTCCATTTGCTGGACTCCATACACACGTGAGTCCTGGCAGTTTCCATTATTGGGCCTCAACGTGGCTCAATAATGGAGACCTTGATCCAGTGTGGAGGGCTATAAATACCCTCTCTTCTGAGAGGGTCAAGTATTCAACACTTTCTAACTTTCACGCTTGCTTGCTCATTTCGCAACTTACTTTGACATCGGAGTGTCTTGCAGGTACTCCCCATCTCACTCAACTTCTGCTCGAAGTAACTGTAACAGTCAATTTTAATCAGGTACGATCATAAACAATTTCAGTGAGATCTTTGGCAAATACAATTCTGAATGGAATAGACTATGTGATGCTTAGTGACGAGACAACTGTTGGAGGTTATCCAGAACTTGTTATTCAAACTATGGCTAAAATATGTGTTGAAGTTGAGAGCACCCTTGATTATGGAGACATGTTTAAAAGGATAATGCATCACTTACCAGTGCCTATGAGTCCATTAGAGAGTCTAGCTTCTTATGTTATTAGAACAGCCAACTCAGCTAGAGCAGCTCTCATATTGGTTTTAACTCGAGGACGGATTACTGCAAAGTTGGTGGCTAAATACATGCCAGTCACACCAATTCTTTCTGTTGTCGTTCCTGAGCTTATGACAAATACCTTTGATTGGTCATGTAGTGATGATTCCCCTGCAAGACATAGCTTGATATTCCGAGGATTAATTCCAATACTAAGTGCAGCCTCTGCTAGAGCTTCTCATGCTGAAAAAACAGAAGATGCAATAGAATTTGCCCTTCAATGTGCCAATACAAAGGGACTATGTGTTAATGGGGATTCCGTTGTGGTTCTGCATCGTGTGTTCACGGCATCAATCATCAAAATCTTGACCGTGAAATGATCTCACAAGCTTAAGTGCTTACATGTTTTTTTGGCTACATATTTTTATGATGGGAAATAATGAACTCATATTATACCATCTCCAGTCTATATTGGATGCAAAACATCAATTAGATGCTTTTATTGGGGTTTCCCTTATATTACACGTCTTAGCATATCCCTGTTTTCTGATTATTGTTGAGATAAGTTGTGAACTCTTCATTTTTGTGATAATGTTTGAATCTTTTGGTACTAATATGACCAGCTTTTGGCTTTTGATTATTTTTCTAAATTTATGCAATTTACTTCTTGAATTTGAAATTTATAATTATTAGACATTGAATTTATTATATTGGTGATTTGCTACCTAACATATAAAACTAAGCCTTATCAAAGGTCTATAATATATGAATGAACTTACAGAAAATTTAATAAATTTTAATCCTTAAATATTTATTTTTTTGATATTATCTATTTAAAATTTTGTTTTATAATTAATAGATTAATTTTTTTTCTAAAAGAAAAAATAATATATTAAATCTTTAAATAATATAATATATATTAACAATAAATACTTTATTATTTAAAGAAAAAATTATATGTATATTACTAATAATAAAGATATATTATAATAGATTATAATTTTATTATAACTTTATTTAAATTATAATTAATTTTGAAATATTTTATTTTTTTAAATAAATTTTAATACATACATCGCACGGATATACATATTATCCGATTGGATTACCGTTTTAAAAATAATAAATTAATTCATTTTTACTTCTTAAATAAATTTTAATACATACATGGCACGGATATACATATTATCCGATTGGATTACCGTTTTAAAAGTAATTAATTAATTCATTTTTACTTCTTATTATAACACTTAATTTTCAATGAAAAATAAAATGCTATTACAATCACTATAAATAATAGTTAATTGCATTTATCATTCTCTTTAATATTATTAAAAATAATACCTTATCAAAATTTGAATCATTAAAATAATAATTTATGATCACTATAAATTTATATTATTAATTTATATCATTAAAATGATGTCTTACCTCACTATATATTTTTAATTGCACTTATCACTATAAATATTATCTTATCACTTAAAATTATAAATTTATGGATCAGTTTTTTAAAAGTATTTAAAAGAATATAGGGGAGATTATAATAAGAGAATTAGTAATATATTGACTTAATTGTAAAAAAAAACTAAATAAAAATTTAATTAATACAACATTAATAAATTATAAAGTTCATTAATATGTTATTATTAACAAATTTCTATTTTAAAATTCAATAATAAAGATTTATTTTAAAATTCACTAATAAAGATTTATTTCTACTATATTGCATTTAATAATAAAAATCAAAATATTTTTAAATTAATGATTTTATTCTTATTATTTTTGAATATTTTATTTAATTAAATTCAAATTTTTATATTATTTTTTATTCTACTATTTTTATTTATTTTACTGTTTTTGAATTGATAATAATATTAAATCATATGGGCAATAATTATAAAATTTGTTTTAATAATTAATAATTGATTATAATATCAAATATTTCCAATTCTATCGTTATATAACTTTTCATTATATTATTTTACAATAATTAATAAATTTAAATTAATTTGATTAGTTTTATTATCATTTAATTTTTTGTTATTCACTATTGATTTTAATAATAAATAATGTTAATACTAATAATTTTTGAGAGCATTCACTTAGGTAATATTTTGATTTAAGTAAACAAATTACTAACATTTTTTAATATAAAAAAATTTAATCCGTACTTCACACGGATCTAAATTTTATATATATATATATTTTGTTATTAAAACTTTTTCATGTTATAAAAAGTAAGTAAATTAATAATTTAATAATATCATATTACTATTAAAAAAAAGAGCGGCCTTGTATAAACATGCATCTATTATTTTTATATATAAATAAAAAGTAAAAGTGGAATATAGGATTAAACGGAAACCTAATTGTTAACATCATATTAACAAAGAAACAAGCAAAGGCACTTCCTCTTGCTACTTTTGTCAGTTCTTCTCTTTATTTCAACGGTTATTTTCTCAAAACTTGAATCACCACTTTATTCAAAACCATTTATCAGCTGGATTAAGGAAAGAAAACTCTTCAAACTACTAATAGCTCAATTTGATGAAAAATAAAATAAAATAATATTTAACATAACAGGTAAGACAAACTTAATTGATAGATGTGCATAAACATCTGAGATAAAAGTACGAGTTCAAATCACACACGATCTTAGCACTCACATCTTTGTATCGGATGTCTTTACACAAATTAGCAACTGAGATGACTTCACTGAATGATCATTTTTTAATCTACGGTATATAGGTGGGACCCTTATGACAAAAATTTGTAGTACAACATTCGGATCTTGTTTCTTTACTTCCTTAATATCTTCGGATTTGCTTTGTCCTCTCAACCGTCGCTTTCATCCTCTGTATATCACATATATAACCTCATCATCCCATAACTCAATTGTCACCTATTTTTACAAACCAGCATTGAAATTCATAACTACTGTTAAACACATGATGGAGAAGGAAGTAATGTTAGTAGTGGCAATGCCTTCCATAGATTTCAATTTCAACACCAACTGTTCATCTTCCCCTTACATCACTGACCCTTCAACTCCCCATCATTTCCTTAAAGATGATAAACCTATCATCAACAACAACGATCAAGATTTTGAATTCAACTTCAATACCAATCTTCAAACTTCTCATCTTTCCGCTGATGAACTTTTCCATGCCGGAAAAATCCTCCCTCTCAACCTCATTCCACCTCATCATCATCATCATCATCATCATCAAGAACAACAAGTAACAGACCAAAAATTAGTACAACAACAACAACAACAACAGAATAAGCTTTGTGTTAGAGAAAGATCTTCATCGTTTTCGTTTCCTACTTGTCGCGATCATAGAAAATATACCAAACTCTCCAATGGTAACAAAGGTAGTACTAGTAGTGCCAACAACAACATTAAACAATCCGAAACTTCATCTTTTTCATCTTTCTTGTCAACAATTTCATTCTCAAAAGGCTATCGAAAATGGAGATTCAAAGATTTTCTATTATTTCGTAGTGCTTCAGAAGGAAGAGGCTCCGACAGAGATCCTCTGAGGAAATACAAGGTGTTGTCTAAAACGACAGTGTACGAGGATGTCGGTGAATCTAGCTTCAGGTCCATTGAGAATTCCGGTTCGGTTTCAAAAAGGAGAAAACCAGTTTCGGCTCATGAGTTGCATTATACACTGAACCGGGCCGCTTCTGAGGAATTGAAGAGGAAAACTATGTTGCCTTATAAACAAGGTTTGTTGGGATGTTTGGGGTTTAATCATGGTATGAATCACACTAGTAGAAGATTTTGATCTTTTGAATGTTCATATTCCAACGCAACTTGTATTTTTTTTTTTAAATTATTGATTTGTTATTTTACGGTTTTTATGTGTGAATTATGAAACACGGACACACATTATGCGTGTCGCGGTGTCTGATACGTGTCGGTGTCTAAATATGCAGATGATCAATATTTGTATGACATTCGTATGATACGTGTCAGAAAAATCAAATAAATATCGGAAAAATCAAATAAATATTTTTCAAAAATTAATCATTTTTATTACTTTAACACATTTTGAAACGATGTCAAATATTCATATGACACTCATACAAAATGTATTCAATAATTCAAATAATTTTTTTTTAATTGTATTTTTCTTTTTTTCAATATATTTTATACATTTTTTTAGATAAATATCACGCATGATTAGAAGAGTTAAATTTGTATTGAAGCAATATTATCAATCAAGAATTAAAAATAAAATAATTTTGATTAAAATATTTTTAACTTTTGTGATATAAGATAAATAAATGAAACTCAAGTACTATAACATATATAGCGGTGTTATTCTTCTAAATTTTTAAGATAACAGTGTCAGAGTGTCAATGTCGTATTGCAGTATCCGTATTGGAGTATGTACTTTATAGTGTATAAAATTTTGATTTAATTCATTTATAAAATTAAATTTGAGTAAAATCAAAATTGAATATGATTTTATCCAAAATTAACATGTGATAAACTTTTTAAAATCAAATAGAATTTAATACAATGTTAACTGATTTCACTTGATTTTATCTTATTTGATTTTATCTTATTTTGAAGAAATGAACTCTTAATTTTTATAAATAGTGCACTTGTTGTGGCTGAGATACATAAATGGCACCTCACTTGACAGCCAAACCTAATGACTCCGAGTGTGAATTTTTTTAGAAATCATTTTCTCTCTTACCTTTCTATTTAAATAGATTTTCATCAAGACATACCGGAGTAATTAGTTGAGCAATTAGTATATAGGTTAATCTTCTCATAAACCAAGTTCAAAACCTATCTTTAGTTATTATATTTTGGTAAAATATCATTTTTAGTCTCTTAACTTAACTTTAGGATTCATTCTAATTCTTTATCTTTAAAAAGTTCTATAGTGGTCCTTTAATTGTTCAAAAAGGACCACAGTAGTCCTTTCCGTCCAAAAGGCACGAACAGACGTTTGTTTTGTATACATGGCAGCTGATGTGGAATGTTATAAACATCTTCTTCATTCTCTTCAAGACTGCATCGTCCCTTTGAATCTCTTCTACCCCAGACTCCCCCAAATTCTAGGGTTCAACAATTTTCTTCCCCTTTTGATTTTGTAAATGCTTGGGGAAAATGAAGCAAACATCATTAGCATACTCAGGTCAGTGTTCATACGATTCGAATGTCAAGAGCGACGAATATTTAGATGGCAATTTGTGATGGAAACTCATATGTGGCTGTGGAGACACGGCTGTTCTTCGAAGGGCTTCAACTCTCACGAATTTTGGGAAGCAATTTTAGGGTTGTTGTCATTATAAGGTAAGAAAGAAATTAAATGGGTTATTCATATTATTTTTTCTGATCTACCCGAATTTTGAATAACACAGGGTTCATTTGAAACTGGATGTGGATACTTTCAATGGTTCTATGATGATGTGGTGGATGAGAAAGAGCAATTTACAAATAAGCAAAATAGTAGGTTGGAGAAGCTTCAAAATGACATTTATGTAGCAAAATTGGAGATATTATCTTTAAAGGAAAGAAAGGATGGACTGAAACAAAAGATGAGGGGGTTACAAATTGAAATGAAAAAGATGATGAATTCCAAAAAAAAATGGAAGAGAATGTTCTGTATTTTGTTAATTATGGTCATTTGGATGATGTTGTAATTTTCGTATTATTTGAATTTGTATGTTTAATTTGTAACATTTTATAATGAATTTTTGTGTTTCCAAATAGAACAAAGTATCATTTTGAATTAGTATGCAACAGTTGTAACACTTATGTTTTGTGTTTTCATTCACAATCATACCATAACATATACAAAATCAATTGAATAAAGTCAACAACAATATATAATTATAAGGTGGTGGATACCACTAATATTCATAAATTACATGTCCAAAAAACCTGATATTACAGGTCCAAAAACCATACATTACATGTCCAAGAAACCTGATATTACAGGTCCAAAACACCACTAGAAATTACAGGTCCAAAAAACCTGATATTACAGGTCCAAAACACCACTAGATAGTACAGGTTCAAAACACTTTAAAATAGTTTAACTAAAGTTAACATAACTTAACAGAATTATTACGTTAAAGACATTAATCTAAGCTTTCCATTTTTTTACGGCTCTCTTAGTAGGTGTCGTCCTTCTTGTTGTTGGACCTACAATAGTTTTTGATGCATTCAACCTAGTTGTTGGACTAGGTGGGATAAAAGGTGCATTTGGCCTTCTAACTTGCAATTTTTTGGATTTGGAATTCACTTTATTGGATGATTGAGAAGAAGTTTGATGAGATGCCTGAGCTGGATGGGATGCTTGAGCTAGCTGAAATGCCTGAGCTGGTTGGGATGCTTGAGCTGACTGAGATGCTTGAGCTGACTGAGATCCTTGAGCTGGTTGGGATGCTTGAGCTGACTGAGATGCTTGCGCTGGTTGGGATGCTTGAGCTGGATTGGATGCTTGAGATGGCTGGGATGCTTGACTAGTAGATGGTACCTTGCAAGTAAGCTTGATGTGTCCTTCTTTCTTACACCTGCTACACTTTATAATGAATCATATCCTTCTCATCTTTTTATTAGAACCATCTATCTCACCTTGCTCTAAATTCCTCCTTTTTTTGGCCTTCCAAACATTTTCCTAAATTTAGGGGGGCAGAATATCAGGATACTCTGTTCTCATCCACAGGTTTGAGCCATTAACAGGATATATTACAGGTTTGTACACTTGCATATATCTTGATTTTCTGGAGTAATCAAGAATGTAGTCATCAATCTTGTGGTTCCTACTTTTGATTGCTGCAAGTGAATGAACACAAGGCAGGCTTGTTAGCTCCCATCTTCTGCATGAACAGTACTTTTCCTTCAAGTTGACTGTGGATTTTTCAGCTGAGTTTTCCAGATGCCTCACTTCAAATATATGCTCATCAGACATCCTAACATATAAATACACATTCCAAATATAAATACACTTCACATATATACACTTTAAAGAAATTTGTTTAAAGTAATTTACCTGATAAGCCACATGTTTGTGTATGAACTTATTTTTTAGGTTTTTTCCTGGATACCTCTTCCTGAAGTTATTATAGAGATGCCTAACACATAACCGTTGTTCAACTCTAGGCAGCAGTTCTTCCATTGCAGGCAATAATCCCCGAGTCATAAAAAATGTAACATGAGAATTTTTAACATGAAATACCTATCAATGCAAAATTAAAAATAGAGACATACCTTTTGTTGATCAGAGATAAAAGTGTATGTGAAGCACTCTTCTATTCCACCAAGATCATCAATAAGCAGCTCTAAGAACCATGTCCAACTATCCTTGTTTTCACTCTCCACCACTGCATATGCTATTGGTAGAATTTGATCATTAGGATCTCTGCCTATGGCTGCAAGTGTTTGACCCCCACAAAGGCCTTTCAAAAAACATATATCAAGTCCAATGAAATGTATGCTTAACTTAAAGCTTTCCTTACAAGCTTCCAAGCATATGTATATCCTTTTGAAATGTAATTTATGAACACCAATTTCTTGTGTGGGTTTGACATTCACTTTTACAGTTGACCCTGGGTTAGCTCTTAATAACTTGTGTGCATAGTCATATATCCTTGCAAAATCCCCTAGGAATGACCCATCGACCATGTCTCTGGATGCAAACCTAGCCCTTATGACCTTGGTTTTGTTGACCCCCACTCCACTTCTTATGTACCTTCTCCTTAATGTCCTTAATTTTCATTTTAGGGTTAGTTTTAAATGAATTCTGGAACCTCTTGCTCAACCATTTAGTCTTCATCAATTTCATATTATATTCTCTACTGCAACTATGAGTGTCTACCACCTTTCTTAGTTTCCAAGAATCCTCAGTAGACAATTTATCATAATAAGATTCCCATTCACATCCTTCCTTACACCTAACCCTAATCCTGGTCTTGTCATTTTTAATGAACTTTAAATTTCTGCTAAATTGGACTGCATAAGAGGTAATAGCTTCCTTGAAAGTTTATGTTGTACTAAAGTAGGTTCCCACTTCCCATTTGTAATTGGACATATTCTTTTGAAGCTTGAAAATTGGATACTTCTTTTTCCTAACTCTATTGCTTTCATCACTATCACAGTCACTTCCTAGATCATCACTTTCATTATCACTCCCTTTGCTATCTTTTTTGTTTGCTTCACACTTTTCTTTACCTTTTTTGCTTTCCACTTGTTCATAGTAAATTAGGTTACCCTCTTCCTCTTCAAATTCAGTGTCATACTCATCAGAGTCATCATCAAATACTACCTCCATTTCCCAATCATAATTGAAGGTGCTATCATCAGAACTATCATCATCATCAACCAGTCTTATAGCATCATCAATCAGTCTTACAGCATCATCAACCTCACCATCCCTATGTCCAATATCATCACTTTCAACCTCACCAACCATTGGCACATTATCATCAATTCCTACTGCATGAACACCATCTTCCCTAACATCATCTTCCCCAACACCATCCATGATAACATTATCTTCCCTAACATCATCTTTCCTAACACCATCTTCCCTTACATCAGTTTCATTCAGCATCTCCTTAAGCACAACTTCTGCCTCATCAACTATCATATTAAGGGGTACCTCATCTAACACAACTTCAGTCTCATCAGTATAATCAGGCTTTGACAACATATATTGAATAAAGACTTCAACAATAAGATGAATCCTATATAGATCAGCAATCTCTAATTCCCCCTTGTCATCAACCAACATATTCATCTCAGCAGTAGGATCCCTATAAT